AAACGTGTGTTCGACTGCGAAACAAGGGAACGTGCTAACGACAAACCACGAGTACTAATCTGTGATAGCTTCGGCACACATGAGACCCTTGAAGTCCTCGAATTCTGCTTCGCGAATAACATCATACTTTGCCGCCTGCCTTCTCACACGTCCCACAAGCTCCAGCCATGTGACATTGCGGTCTTTGCTCCTTTAAAGTCAGCATATCGAGACAGAGCAGATCAGATGGAGCGAGCAGGAGTAAACACGATCGGCAAGCAGCATTTCACCGCCTTATACAGCCCTGCGCGAGAAGCAGCCTTCACCAAGAGGAATATCCTCGCAGGGTGGAGTAAAGCTGGCCTGTTCCCGTTCAACCCAGATAGAGTGCTCAGAGATATGCCGAAACCTCCCCCTGAGGCGTTAACGGCAGATCAAGAGCAGATTTTGACATACATGCGAGACGAAACAGTATCCAAAACCCCTGCGACACCAGCCACGCCAGTGTCTATGGAGGCGCTAATGTCTCTGCAAAAGATAATCGTGTCACGAGACGCTAATACCCTGGACGAAGCGAGTAAACAGAACCTTAAGAGGCACCTGCAGAAATTAGCTAAAGCTGCACACTCATCATTCGCTGAGACTGCAATCCAGAAGGACCAGATTCGCTTTTTGCTCCATGCTAATAATGAAGCGAAAGCTCGACGATCAACCAAATCACTTGTGCTTGGGAAAGCAAAAGTAATGAGCTTTGAAGATCTCGTTGAAGCACGAACGAAGCGACTCGAGGAGGAGGCTGCCAAAGACAAGACGAGGGCAAGATCCAGTAAAAAGCGCGCCCCAGAATCTCCACTCGTAGAGCCTCCTGCAAAGGTGGGCAGATTCGGTGAGCAGAACTGGAGCATCGCAGGGTCGCAGGGCGATGAGCAGACGCTAATGACGGCAGACATGATCGGCGTCAACACATGGGTGGCTCCAGTTGCAAAGATGTGGTGATGTGTTTAGTTTCAAGGCGCGCTTGGTTGCGGATGTGAGGCAATACAAACAATCTGTACAATAGTTCCAAGACTGCCACGCACTCTACATTTGCTTTGCGCTAGTCTTTGTGCACTCAACATCCTCCATCGCGATCATTGTCGATTTTTGTGCATTTGTCATCGCGTACAGAATGTTGACGGACGCAACGTAATCGAATTCCGGCGATACGGGCATCTATTGAATTCCAAAACACGAGGGAATGACGAACAGATCTCCTCAGCTCTTGTCGATTGGAGGCTCAATGTGGTACGAAGTCGTTCTGTTAGACGAGGTCCGCTTATTGTCCGTCGATAGCACGTCAATCGTGAAAGTAGGCTCCTGGGAAATGTGCCACGGCAGCTTGTAGTGAGCCTCAGCATGACTCAACGGGCCCCGAATCGAGGAGTCCGCATCTTGCAGGTGGCTGTAGAAAATCTTTTGATACGTGTTCCGGCAGACGCTACGAAATACGGGTTGCGGCACATTCAGAGGACTGAATATTGACTGCTCGGTAAGAGGCATCCAGATCGACATCCGATCCTTGCCGTACATCATGTCAACGGTTCTTGCTGTACCGTCCTCGCTGAAATGGTCCCTTAGGGAATCTGGTTGACGGTCGACGCCGCCAAATTCCCCGAGTGGAAGGAACTCCGATGAACACGACACGAATCTTCCATCCTTTGTAGCTATTAACAGGGCCGAGTAGCAGCGACCCTTCTTGAGTGGTAGGTCCCATGGGTTGAATTCCAGGCCCAGCAAGCCAAAAAGAAGCATGTCTCGTGTCCCACTAATCAAGGTCAAATTGTATCCTTGTCTGAGTCTCCGTCGTAGCCAAATGCCGGCCGGCAGCACTACTTTGAGCGGACTCAGATCGTGCGACATGATATGCTTGTCCATTCTCAAACCGCAACCAGCAAGAAAGGCTAGGACTTCCCCAGGTAATAAAGGAGCAAGTACAGCATCCCGCAGCTCGGGTATCTCAATCACCGTACGCAGCAATCTGTTATTTGCAAATTGGGCGTCGGATTCGAATGCATGTTGTAGCTCTAGCTCTTTCTCTCGCGCTTTTGCCAATGCTTGTTCTGCGCGATTCCTTTCGTCCGCCGCTTCGTCAAGATCTCTTCCTAGCCTCGCTCTTTGCCGTCTGAATTCAAGGTATTCTGTGTCCGATAACGATGGCGCTGACCGCCAGTTCGACGATGATGGCCACAAATAGCAGTCGCATGGTTTGTGGATCGCGCGATTACAATGTAGGCAAGGGGATGGCATTTTCGATAGTGCTAGAATGATGGCGGATTTGTCTATGCCAGTCTTGCTGGGCGAGCCCAAGGTGTAACTTACAACTCGGGATTACATAATACTTTCAGCAGCCGCCACAGCTGTCGGGGCTGATGTGTGGCGCTCGCTCATGATCAAGCCACAGTGGCTTTGCTGTCCCTGCACGCAGTGCGTCCCTCTATAAAGGGAGAGACGTTATGTCCGCGGCGTCGGTTGCAGTCTTAGACAGATCCGATCCTTTTTCTTCATTGTGCTCCACGTAGGTGATTATAGCATTGAAGAACTTCGTGAAATCGTCAAAATCACGAGCGTTTGGTTTGTCCATCTTCGAGTATAGTTGCAATGAAATCTTTTAGGATAAGTTGCCTAGTATATAGTAGTGGAAGCTTCTAGAAAGGT